TTGACTGAGCACTAGCTCAAAGAACATGATCCAATTTTTTTATCAAGTTACTCTATTGCCTCGAAATATTGTAGATCAATAATGGTGGTACTTTGGTTTTCTGTGAGAACGATTTTCTTGAGGCTTCTGGCTTGGTTAACATTGATAAATTCAATTTTTTATGTGGTGATAAGTTCTTTGAGTTGTCTATTGTGTATTCTAATATTTTAATTCTGTTTTTTGTCTGTTTGTATCGTTCACTTGGTTCTGACATGTTCTTTAATAAACTTCTAAGCGAAATTCCGCCTACAGCCACTGTTATATTCGCCGGCGACTTTAACATAAATTATGAACAAGCAAATTCGCGTTCTGCTCGTACACTCAAAAATTTACTCATCTCTTTCGATTTGGTTATGCATGTTCAATCTCATACAAGAATAACAGGGCAAACTGCCTCAACTATCGACTACTTGTGTTCTAATATAGATTTAACTAAAGTTGAATGTTCGGCGATTCCTTCTGGTTTGTAAGACCATGAAGCTGTGATTGGCAAGTATAAACTTGGATCTTGCACAGTTAAGAAGAAATATTTTAAGCGTGGCCGTTTGTTTACTGGACCAAATTTTAATGTATACCGGCAATTATGCTCTGATTTTGCATGGGAAGGCTCTGGGGGTACTGGCAATGCTTTGGAGATATGATATGGAAACCTCCTAAATATTTTCGATACCCACTGCGTTTCCGATTATAAATCTCAATTCAAAAAACAATAAACCCTGGGCTACAAAAGGTTTGAGGATTGCTTCAAAGAATATGAGATGCCTGCATACTTTGAGAAAGTTCTTTATGGGTAACACTTTTTTCATGAGCTATTTTAAAAATTACTGGAGCATCTATCGTAGGGTGATTGGGGAGGCTAAGCGGTCTTATTACAATTCGCGCATTGGAAGGGCTGGCAACAAACAGAAGGAGATATGGACTATTGTGAATGACCTGCGAGGGAAAAAACGTATCGGCTCCCACTCTGTCAGTAACAATCTAACAGCTGAAGATTTAAATAGTTATTATTGCTCTATTGCTGCTAAGCTTTCTGCAAATAAGGTCAATCAGAGATCGCAAAAAATGTTTATTTTTCTCTAATAGAGTCCCATCTCAGATATGGTATTTGTTTCTGGGGCTCTTGCTCTCATAACCTATTCCAGTCAGTGTTTGTTTTACAGAAGCGCGCTATTAGATGTGTTTTTCAGCCTGCGACTCGTGCAGGCCCATTTTTGAATCTGAAAAGATACTGACTGCCCATAGCATTCTCATAGTGGAGTCTGTGTGCTTAATGCATAGGAAGTACCTGAATCTGGTACACTCTGTATTTGATGTAAATACTCGCACCTCGTTTACCCTTGACCTTCCCATCCCCTCTTTGCGAGAAAAAAATAGTATAGTTTTTAAATTTTGACAGTTTGTTCAGATGGACATAGTGAATCGGAATCTCATTTTGCAGCAGTTGAGGAACTGGGCTCGCTGAATAGGGGCGCCTTTTCAAAAAAATGACAGTCGTGGTAGAACGCTGCCAATACGGCTTAACGTAAATGGAAAAAAAATTCTGATAAATTTTTTTGGATATGGTGATTAAAAAACCGCGGACAGCCCTATTCTATCTTTTATAGTTAACGCACTAGAACGCGTCAAAGTACGGGGTTTGAGCTTGAAATTGGCCTCGCCGCTCCATTTCACGTTTCGTGCGACAGAGAAAGAACGGATTATCCAATTTCTATTATTCAAAAACTATCTAAATCTTGAATAAATTTGTCATAAGTGTGTTTTTCAAGCGGTCCGATAACTTTAAAATTATCGATTTTACAAAATATTGAAGTTCCACTTTTTTTGTAAAATTCAGCAAAACTTGCTAAGTTTAGAAAGGATTTTTTTTACAAAAAACTATAAGGCTCAGGTTTCCTGCATTTAAATGTATTTTTGTTTTTGCTAATTTATGCAAGGTAGTTCCTGTGAAAGCCGTTTTATAGCGCGCGTTGTTATATAAAATGGGGTGTATTTTCATTAGACAACTATTATTGATAAAGGCATTTCTCATTGCGAATCCAATTGGTTTTTTCATTCTTATTTTATTTTATTTATTTTTAAATCGACTATAAAAAATAAGGAATCCTAATTCTTGTTTTAATTTATTTTTTTATTTTATTTGATTTGTTGGATGAACCCACCATCATTGTTTATATTTGTGTATCAGCTGATTGCCTTTAATTAAGTTAGACACAAACGACACAAAGCAATTTGCGCTTGCGTTTTTACCAAGGCTTAAAAAAGGATTAGCACTAATCCTAATCCACTTAATAGCGTGAAATAAACGTAGTCATTGACTACGTGGATTGGATTAATAATGGGGATTAATAATCCTGAAATAAACACCTAGGATTAGAGAAATAATTCGGATCGGAGTACTTAATCCAATCCTCCAAATTTGTAGGATTGAACTTAAAATGAATTATCTCAAATCTGAAATAAACACCTTGATCTCGGATTTAAGAAGTTTGTTGCTAACTTCAAGAAGAAATCAAATTTGTCGTTTGTAATTTTTTTGAGGATCGATGTTATTTAGTTTTATTTGGATATTTTTTGATGAAAAACCGGTGTGAGAGAAGAAAATGCTCACCTTTTAATTGTTAATTAAAACTATTTTTGATCATTGTTGCCTTTGATGAAGTTAGACACAAACGACAAGGCTTTAGAAAGGATTACCACTAAGCTTAATTCATTTAGTATCCAGATACAACGCGTGAAATAAACGTAGTCATTGTTTTTATCGTCGTTTTCGCAATCGGAATCTGTAATATTCTATATGATGTGAAAAAAAAATGCATTTTTGATGCCAGCTATTTATTCCTTGCATTCAAATATTTATTAATTTTTACGTTTCATCCCCCTAAATGAAATTGTTCATAAAAATCTGAAATCTCATAAGCTGAAAATAAATTACAAGAGACAGTTGGTACTCTCCTTTAAAGTGTATTCTAGTAGGTTAGATCGTGATGTGCATCAGAAACTGATAGAAACTCGTAGATGGAATAATAATTTATTTAGCTGTCACATATAATACATTGTTAAACGTCCATAACCTGTACAACATACAAACTGCAAACAATTTGTTTCAATTTATATTCTATGACAAGGAACGACGAAATACTTGAATCAATATTAACAATAATTTAGTTTATTCAGGAATTTTGTCATTCAAGTTGAAAGGTATGTAGGTAATAAATAAAACTAAAATTCGAGGCTGAATGAACTAAGCTCAAGACATAAAAAAAAAAAAATTAAAAAAAATAAATAAAAAATAAATAAAATTTTACGCCTTTGAAGAGTGCGTAAAGTAAGTAATTTACGCACGGTAGTAGAAAAATACTTTCAAATAATGATATTTGAGGTATGTTCTATACTTTATGTAAAACATTTATTTGTAGAGTTTTTGTAAATTTCTTAAATAAGGAAAGATTTCTCAGTTATCTTTTGTCAATAAACTTGGAATGAACCAATTTGTTGTGTTGGATTGGGTTGTTTTATTGCTAGATCTTATTAAAATAAGACTTCAGAATAGATAAATTAATTATTTATATGTCTTAAGGACTTGGATCATATTTTGGGTGTCACAGACCGAAGCGATAAAACTTTCCTAAAAATTCCTAGCGACTAAAGACGTCAAAATGCTGTGATGGCAAATCTTAGTCGAGGTAGAATCTCTGCGTCAATATTTGAATTGTCCGAAAGATGAATAGCGAAGTATTATTTATTTTATATAGGTACTCCATTGATCATTGAAGCTGAAACTGGTGCAATAGTATTTGAGGCAGGCTGGTATAGGATTCTTGTCTTATTTGCGATAAGTTCTTCATATGAATGCTCGAATTCAGTTCTAAATGTCTTCCTCGGTTTTTGCTTTGACAACGTCTTCTCCGGCATATTGAAGACCAGATACCTTGGTATTAGCTCAATGTCTGCTAAACTTGCATCAATGAGAGTTCCTATACAAAGATAGAGAATAAACTTGGCGCAGGGAAACATGCTCGCTTCACTCTGGTTGTGATTGTTTGGGCTTTTCCGGCTCAGTTGTTTGTAAGAAGAGTGGCGTTCATGCTGCCATGCAGTGAGTAAGTTGATAAATTCAGGCGGCCAGCTCTGCAATGTCAGTATTTTCCATCACAGGAGTTTGTTTTGTTCTTTCGATTTTTGTTGCATTTACTTATCTTGCACTGAAGATCATGTTCACCCTACCTGGATCTAGTCTAAATCCCCACTGTGTGTCGGGTAAGGTCGGTTCAGCCATATGCGTTGAACAGATTAGTAAAAAAATTTGGAGCGACGTCTTTTTCTAGGATAAACGATTGATGGCTTTTTTGTTTGCATATATGATTCAATAAACGAAATAGTAAATTAAAATAGCATTAGATCTTTTAATTTCTATTTCAGCATTTATATAGCTACTTTCGTTTTATGAATAGGTAAATATTACTAATTACTCTAATTAAAATTTTACTCACCTCAGAAGCAAAGCTGCCAGCAAAAGCTGAAGCTTTATAAATAACCTCAACAGCTATCGTAAAAATTTTAGTGATTTAACTGTTCAAGGAATTCTTGTAGGTAATTCTCAGAAGTTTCAGTTAGTTCTGGAGAATTATAAACTTATCATTTATGATTATTCTTTTGTAAAGGCGCTTTTTTTTATGCAATTTTAATCCTAATTTTTTCAACGATTGTATGCCTGACGAAAGACAAAAAAACTGAGGTAGGTACATTTAACCTTTATATTCCTTGAAGCATTCTAATTTCTCGGAACATTTAATTTCTTAAAAGTTGGTAAAAAATTAATATTTTTATAATTATCATCTAAATATATTTTATTCAGCCAAATTTTGTACCAGAAGTTTTGCTGCCTTGTTATGCGGCTTATTTAATAATACCCCTGCCATGCTTCAAAATTATATATTATATTGAACAAAAAATTCACTTACTTGGTTTGGATTCCCGAAATTTGACTGCTTTCACTTCCGCTTGTCCGATACAAATATTTGGATCGGGGGATTCGGGAAATAAATCACATTCCAGATATTTTGGCAATGTCAGGCCAAAAACATCTAGGAAAAAGCCGCAGCGTCTTTTAGTTTCTGAAACATAAAGTTTTTTTTAGTGACATGTATTTTTTCTTTCAATTTGATTAGAACATTTTTTTTTTTTGAAATTCTTATTATTATCATTATAGGGGTTTTTAACAGTAGGCGGAAAAACCGGTAGACTGTCATTAGTCCTTGTGCTGGGAATGTTACTTGCTAGTACACTATTTTACGGCCTATCGATAAAATATTTATCAAGTCTGTTCTTAAAGGCATTCACACTAGGGGAGGTTACAACCTCGTCAGGGAGCTGTTGCACCATTAGATTTGTGAAAAAATACTTCCTGGGAAATCTGTGACAAAGTTCGGTGGAGAGCTTCAGGGAGTGTCCACGCAGATGAGGGTTGATATGTCTGTGAAAGAAATCAATGTCGCATGTGTAATGATTATGTAGAATTTTGTAGGTTTCGATTAAGTATCCTCTATTTCTGCGTTCCTCCAGAGTTGTCAGATTAAGAGCTTTCAGTCGTTCTTCATAAGACAATTCTCTTGAAGATGATGGAATTTTGGTTGCCTTCCTCGCTCAATCAGATCTATGTCCTTTCTGAAATAGGGACACCAAACCACAGCAGCATGCTCCAGCATTGGTCTGATGTAGGTTTTGTAGGCTCGGAGAAACACTTCAGGGGACATTTCCCTAAAACAGCGTCGTACCAGATAGACTGTTGAGTTGGCTCGCTTCACGATTGCATGTATGTGCTGTTCCCATTTTAGGTCATGTGAGATATTTACTTCTAAGTCGGCCTGTTCAGTCACCCTTCCCAAGCTGTTATTGCCCATATGGTAGTCCAGCATAAGATTGTTGTACTCAATGTGCAACACACAACATTTGCTGACATTAAGTTTCAATAACCAGTCCTTCGTCCACCCATCCAGCTCAGCAAGATCCTCAACCATGGCATCATGTTGAAATGTAGGGTCAGAGAATATCTTGGTGCCATCAGCATACATACTGGTCCTACAGGACATGTTCTGAGCAATATCTGAGACATAAATTATAAACAGAAGTGGGCCCAGTACAGAGCCCTGTGGAACTCCACTGACTACACTGTGCTTGCCAGATAAGGTGCCATTTATTCTGACTTGGTATGTCCGACTACACAAGTAGTCCCGAATCCATCGAAGCAGCCGACTCCGTATACCACAATGCTCAAGCTTATGAAGCAGTCTCTCTGGAGGAACAGTGTCAAACGCCTTTTCAAAGTCGAGGTACACAACGTCAATTGGATAATGCTATGCAGATGACTTGGTCCAGTGTTCCAGGCTGGACAGGAGATTGGATGTAACTGATCTCCCAGGCAGAAAGTCATGCTGATTGAATAGTCGATCACCATGATGGGTCATAAGGAATTTTGTTATTTCAGTTGCTATAATCTTTTCCATACATTTGCAGGGTATTGATGTTAAACTGATAGGCATATAGTTTTCAGCTAAGTGTTTATCGCCTTTCTCATAGATCGGAATGACAATTGCATTTTTCCACGCTTCTGGGACTATGCCATCTATAAATGATTCTGTCATTGTTCTTGCAAGGTTTACACTCATGGTCGCGTTGCAGATTTTTAGCAATATTGGGGATACATCGTCAGGTCCTAGCAGAGAGCTTCAGATCAAGCAACAGCTTTTTCACCTTCTGTGGGGTAAAAACAATATTTTCAAGTGTGGGTCCTGACCGTCCGATTGCGGGAAGTTGTGGTATAGTTGTTGTGTCTTCGTGTATAAATACTCTGTCAAATTAATTGCTGAATATTTCCCCCACTCTTTGTGGTTCAGACTCAAGATGGTTGTCTGAATCTCTTAAGACAAAGTTTTGAAGCCTAGATTGAAGCGAACGGTTGATATACTGGTAGAACCTTCTTGGACCCTGCTCTAGGAGACTGCTCTCAAAAGTCGACCGAGCATTTCTTAATGTTTGGGTGATTCGGTTTTTTAGCACAATGTATGCCCGTAGGTCACAGTTCTCACCAGAACCTCTGTATAAATGCCATGCTGTTCTTTTTTGGTTTATCAATTTAACATGAGCTCTAGTAATCCTGTTGTTTGGTTCCCATTGCTCAAGAAAATGATTTATGGCGTCGTAGTCTCCCTTCCAGTAGTTTTTTTTTTCTACAGCTTGGACAACTGGAAGTAGGATCATCTGGGCTGTGGCCACAACAGTAACATGATCGGTCTTACCTATTGGGGGTACAGACGTAATACTTGTCACCAACCTTTCATCTGATACCAAGAACAAGTCAAGTAATGAGGTGACAGTACCCTCCCGAAAACGAGTATTAAAGTCGATTAACTCATGCAGTCTTGATTCCTGGTAGGCCAGTAAAAATTCTTCAGCAGGAATACTACGTTTAGTCACTTTACCGGTGGATCAATCTATTTTAGGATAATTAAAATCACCATAAATTATTGTGGTGGAAGAATCGTCTAGCCTGTTTAACATATCTACAATCAAGTTGTTATCCTCAGACAAACATCCAGGAGGTCGGTAAATACACCCCACCAGCAGCCGCACAGCACCAAACCTCAGGTCGACATAAACACTATCCACCATAGTTAGCCTAACATTAAATTCTTCTTGCCTTACACAGGAGATTTGAGGGCCCTGGATACAATTTTTGATATATATACCCACCCCTCCACCTTTCTTTATTTGCCCATGGTCATTTATGTTTGTGCGATCCTTTCTGAATAATGTGTAGCCATGTATACCAATCAAAGAGTCTGGTATGTGTGTGTGTTCAACTATGTTTCAGTGATAAAAATTAAGTCTGGCTTTTTGTCTAGAATTTCAGTGACAAATTCATCAAACTTGGACATGAGCATAAATTGGTACACAACATTGATATGGAGGAGTAGGTTTGGGCGTTTAGTTTTTTAAGTGGTCAGTACTGAGGCCATATACCCAAGATGGTCTAACCTTAATTTATTTTGGAAGACCACTAGAGTATTTAATTTTAAGGTTATCTTCCCCTTGGTTTACTCTTTCTTGCATTTCTGTTAACAGTTTCTTGAGGTAGCTTCGCTGCAGGCTTGTTTGGTCATACTTTATATACATACTGCTCTCTTTAGGTAAATTATTTTTGTCATGAACCACTTCACGAGCTTCCTCCTTTGAGGGAAAAATCACCTTGATTGGCCTTCTTTTCTCTGGATTGTAGATTCCTACCCTGAAAACTTTAAGGTTACCTTTGGCAGTATCTCTGCTGACACAATCCAGTACCCCCTCAACTACCTTTACGTCATTTGCTTTTCTTTCATCAACATTGTTACTCCTGGACTCCTCAGCCCCAAATATAAGAACATTTAATGCTCTAACCTCCCTTTTCAGCCATTCTATCCGTGTAGGTTGCATTCCCTCCGACTGCTGATTTCCAGAGACTGTATGCACAACTGGGGTTGTAATCTTGTTGTTTAACTCTTGAACATTAGTTTTTAAAGGTTTTTGTTTCTTCCTTCAGGTTGGAAACGATATCGGCATAGCTTGGAGTACTAGAGGATGAGTTTTTCAGATCTTGAATGTCCATTTGCATTTTAACTAGTTCTGTTTTGATATCAGCTATGCTTGATACTCCATTGGCTAGTATCTTTAGATCCTTGATCTCCGTCTCAATCTGAGGTTTTTTTTTGTTAAGTGTAGGCAGAAGCTTTATTGTTTCACTGCAGGTGTCGCAGAAAAAGAACATTGTCCTATTTGCCAGAAGAACTACTCGAATTTCAGTGCTTGTTATTTTTGAACAATTTCTGCATATTATATTTTTACAACAGTCACAGGGACAGCCAAAAACTTCATCATCTCGGCACTTTTCCTTAGAAGAACAGACACTTTTACATTTATAGCATTCCATCGACATTATGATTTTCAGGTTAAATTCGCAATTTTTGTGTTTTGTAGTACGATAGTAGCGCTAACGGTTTCAATTATTCATAAACTGGTTCGGTTTAGATAATTTTAGATATTTAAATAGTTATCAGTTTAATTAGGCTAGTTTTTAACAGATTTTTCACAAAATCGCGCACAGAAATTTCCCAGCACTTGTTTACATTACGATAACCTTACTATGACTCATAACCTTACTATGACTTATATTCAACTTTTGTGTGTGTGTGTATGATTATATAATAGGAAAACGGACAGCTAAATTTTAAAAAAATGTTTTCCATATCGGGAAAAAAAAACGGTAGTTGAAAACTTCGATACTTGGGTCCAGTACAACCTCATAATTATTTGCACAAGGCGTCATTTGAGTATTACAAAACTGTACAGATTTTATTATTTAATGCAAACCGCTTCAGGCCTCAAGCCGTCATGAGAGCCCTCTTTGTCAAGAATAGTAGCCCAAATTCACAAAGTTAGTACACAAACCTCAACATAATCCACAAAAAGGCAATACTATAAAATAGAACAATACAGATTTACACAAAAGCACAAAAACAAACATTGTGAAGGGAAGAACGTATTAGATGTTCGGGGTCCTGGCGCATTGCTCGCACTCAAAAGAGATTATTCCGATGTTTCCAAATGTAATGCATTTCCATTTCCATGAGGTTCGCGGTGGCATCTCGTTCTAACAAACAATCTTGGGAGACCGCAATACGAGCGGTCGACGATGTACATAAATCGTGAAAGTCTATACATTTCCTCCTTAGGCGAAAGATATGGAGAATAAAATATACAAGTGACAAGATACAAAAAATTGACAGTCTGTGAATCGATGCTGTAACCCAGAATGAAATGTTAAATAATACAAATAATATGCCCGGGATAAAAATTTCCGAATTTTGGTACTTTGTACCATGGTATGATGTATCTCATCAATCAGAATCGGCGAAGTAATTGCTTGTCGCCAACATAATCTTAACTCACCAGGTGACCCCACACTAAGTGCCCAAGCCCACATCCTAATAAGTAAAATACGGATTACTGAGACCATACCTGCTGAACTTAGGGATGCCTAAATAGTTGCCATTTTTCAAAAGAAAGATAAGGCTCAATGTGG